ATTTATTTATTTAAAAATATGATTCCAACTCGCGACATAAGAGGTCTCATGTTTCAAAACAAAAGCTGAAAACCTCAATATAATTATTTGAATTAAATTGAGTTAAAGTAAGCTCTATTCCATCTTCAAGCGAAATTGTTTTTGGAATAACGTATTTCTGAAATTTACGTGTTTTAATAACTGAAATCAAAAATCAAAATTTCCATGGTAACAGCTAGGGAGAATTGTTTAAATTGGGTAGGCGTGTGTTGGGTGTTAATAATAAGTATCAGAATAGAGTTACTTTCATAGATGTCAAGTCAGGGAAAGGTGGGGGTGTCTAAATTTGAAACGGAAGATGTATTCACCCTAGTCTGGTATGCGTGTCTATGGAGATTTATTTATTTTTTTATTTTATTTTTTTATGATGAAAGGGATTTGTGCATATAAAAAACTGCCGTAATTTTTGTTTTTTGACGACTTCATAAAGGGTTATCTTTTTTGTAGGGTATTTAAACTATTTATTTGGGCTATGGATTATGAAAGTTATTATATTGTATGCTTGTTCTTAGCTAATTATTCAGACCTTGAATCTGATGATTGGGCTATGGATTAATCAAGTTATTATATTGTATGCTTGTTTTTAGCTAATTATTCAAATCATAAATCTGATGATGACGACAAAAAACCGTTATATATATATATATATAAATCCTCAATCCAAGCCGCTATCCATTACTCCACCGTGCGGCTTAGATTGAGGAATCGCAGAGCCGAGTTCGAATTCCAGTCGAATTCATTACATTTCACTTACGTGCTAATACCCTTTGTGAAAGGTATGAATCATCTTCTCCTCCTCCAGCTATGGGTAAAATAGCAGGACAGACTTGGATGGCAACTGGTCTAGAGAAGGACAACTTGAATTCAAAAACCTGCGGAGGGTCGTTTGGGAACCTTGTGGCATTCGGTGCACCAGTATTCGTCCTTCAAAAAGTGTGGATGGTCCTGCACGAGTCCTTCACCACTATAATCAAATCTCATGTGCCGGTGTCGGGCTGTCGGTTTCTGAAACTGATCTGCTTGACCTCATACGTCGAGTTCGACGGAGAGTCGACTATATATATATATATATATATATATATATACATTTTTTTTAATCCTATCTCAGCTTTCGGCATACATAAGTCATTATCAAAGATGACAATTACTGTACAATATATTAAGCAATAAACGGACAAGACAGTGATGATAGTCTGTTTCTGTTTACATTGAAGATTTCCAAGCAGCGACAAACTCTGCATATAATGACATTGGAAGCGAAAATCGCACCGCATCTCATGATGTCACGCAAGACTACGCGAGAGTGAAAACGAGAAGTATTAAGAATGTGAAGTCGTTGGTATAAACCAATGGCTTCTGTTACCAATTATAGGCATTTAAGAATATTAGTGGAGATTTCATAGTTTATTTTGTTCACGTTTGTTTCAATTGTTTTATGTATATAGCTTCATGAATTTTTAGTTTTGTTTGATGTTTTCATGTTAAAGTATAGTTGAGCTTTTAACAAGGATTTTCCGGAATTGTGTATGCGGTCAGGCATGATGTTTTAAATGACTAAAAATGTTAGAATTATCATTCAAATGTAGTGTCAAGCGTCGTGAAAGCCAGTTTCTGGTGAGACCTACATAAATATTATTTAATTCGTTGGAGATACAATCACCCAAATGGCACTTGAATATGTAAATTATATTGGCTTTTTGCAAATAATTTATAATAAACAATATTAAGAACATTTACGGGCCTGAATGTCCGAGAAATTTTCATAGAAAATATGCGTCCTCGGACAGGAATCGAACCAGTATCCTATTTCTATAAAATTACTCGGACATTCTGGCCCCTAAATGTTGTTAATACTGTTTATTATGAACAGAACACTTACTTAAATATTTGTATCTATAAAAAGACCGTATAAACGTAAAGAATGTGTTAAATAATTGTCGGATTTTGTCCAGTTCATAATGTACATACATATATACATACATACATGCACACATATACACACACATATATATATATATATATATATATAGTTTTTATATATATTATTTGTATATGCGCAGTACTTATTGGAAAGCGCTCAATATCGGTGATAAAGCTAACATATTTAGTTGGATTAATTTGAGTTTGATGTTATATATGGCGGAATTATACCAGGTTTGTTATATATATATATATTATATATATATATATATATATATATATATATATATATATATATATATACATATGTATACATATATATAAATACATATATATACATATATATATACATATACATATAATTACTTACTTAAAAATTATAACATAAATGTTATAAAATCACTACAAAAAATTCCCATTTTGTTTCATTACCTCCAGTGTCTTAACAATTGATGATGTTGAATGTAGAATAAATGGTTTTAGAGGTTTCAAATTAATTAACGGTCCTTCGCCAGACGAAAACGCTGTTGCATAAGCTAGAATGACCAATCAAAACACAAGTATACGAGTATTCAAAAGACTTGACAACGAAGTACGGTACTTATTGGAAATTGCACAATATCGGTGATAGAGCTAACATATTGAATTGGATTAATGTGAGTTTGATGTTATATACAGCGGAATTATACCTCGTTCGTTCTCATTTTATTTATATATATATATATATATATATATATATATATATATATATATATATATATATATACATATATATACATATATATATATATACATACATATACATACATATATATACATATATATACACATACATATAGACATGTATATATATATATACACATATATATATATAATTACTTATTTAAAACCTATAACAGAAATATGTTACAAAATCACTACAAAAATAGCCATTTTGTTTCAACACATCCAATGTCTTATCAAGTGTTGGGGCCACCCACCTTCTCATCAGAATGGACTGATCTCTCTACTCCTAATAGGACAGTTCTATAGAGTTCTGGGAAGATCAGGTGACCATCACACTTCCGTCTCTCTACCGGAAGATACAGTTGGACTTTATACTCTTTCTGATTGTTACTGACTAACCTGCGTTCGTTTGACTACTAATCTCTCTGTTGTAAATACCTCTTCAGATATACCAGTATTTTTCCCTACGTATATGTTTGTCCTTATTTCAATACACGCACGGGGAAACACTCAACATCTCAACATCAAGTGATGATGTTGAATGTAGAATAAATGGTTTTAAAGGTTTCAAATTAACGAGCCTTCGCCAGGGGAAACGCTGTTGCATAAGCTAGAATGACCAATCAAACACAAGTATATGAGAATTCAAAATATTTGACAACGAAGAAAGTTTATAATAGCTATAATAAGCTTTAAAGTTAGGATTATACTAAAAATTTATTCTAACTTATTATTATTATTATTATTATTTCATATAATTTAATACTTATTGGTTAGAATGGCTAAGATATAAAAACAAGCTGATGAGCAACTTGTCATCGGTCAATATATCACATAACACCCTTGAGTGCTTAGTCTTGGAGTGGGTAGAATGGAGATCAACGTGTTTTGTCTGAATCATCTTCAAGAAGCGAAAGCAAGATCTAAAAGGTCAGCTAATCTAACAGTGATCTCATCTCACAATCCTCATACTTGCTCCATATGCGGCCTCCTTTGCAAAATCACTACCGGGTCTTAAGTGCCACTTAAGATTACCGCACAAAATTTCATAATAGTATCAATTAAGCGTCGTATGATTGACGGTGAACATCTCTGATGTAATGCCTGTATAACCACTCTGATGATGGCTCATTTGAGTCGAAATCTTAGATCGACGACTAATATAATAATGAAATATTCAAATGTTGGACAAACTAAATCTATTATGCGACGCTTGGAGAGGCTCATGATAAAACGTAATACACATTCGTTGTCTGTTATATTTAAAAATATATGTTTGAATATATATATATATAAGTAAATGTTCGTCACTTAACTGATTAATGTTACCTTCAGCATCCCAACTCCAGCGTTTCGTAGGCGTACGTGTCCATTCATTCTTTAGTGGGTATCAAGAATTTAATGTTCTTAGACTGACAAAGAATGAATGATTCTAGAGCTGTGAAATGTCTATATAATTTATATTTGGGCAGAAACCTTTCTTTCAAACATTATATTTTGAGTATGCAGACAAGGAAAATTTAATTAATATTTTATTTAGTTTTTCTAATATTCTTAGATTTTTCATTTGGTTGTGGTAAGGACGTGTAACAATTTTTTTACTAGTGTCCATTGTATCAAGCGCTAACGGCCAATTCTTTAGCCATTTTCAAGTTCATTTTTTTATTGTCGGCTGTCGTTAATGACTTTTCATGGTTGTCTGTTTGAGATGTAATTGTATGATGCCTATATAGCAGTAGCTTCTATTACGAACCCCGCGAAATGGCCGTGGCTGAAATTCAATATTGTTGACTTTAATTTTAAAATTTCAAATTGAAATTCTTATGTATGTTTTTTAAAACACGCTTTATTATGCAGTCCCTTATGGAGAAATACAATTTATTTAAGTCGGGTTGCATAATATTTTTTCTTTGTTCTGTGTAATACACTGGGCGTAACAGCAAAGTTGTGCAAATCGTGTAACAGCATGGGATAAAAATTTTTAATATATAAAAAAAACACACTACAATAACTGAGTCTGTTTTTTCCAGGTTTTGAGATACGATCTTTAGCCATCTTAACACCCTGTGTCGTAAGAATCACTGAAAAACCCTTTGGGTTATTCAGCGAGAAAGTGAACAGGTTAAAATCGTTTTGTGTCAGCCCCAGTATGTCTTCCCAAATGAGCAATGGTGAGAAGCAAAGGATCATTCTGGCCTTCAGTAATGGTAGCAATATTCATACTCTGGCTTTTATCTTTAATCTCTGTTCAAGACCCATCAAGAAAACGTGGAATAAGTTTAAAAAAAAAAGAGGAAAACTGGATCAGGTGGTCACAACATCAAGAGGGATCATTATTTTTATTGTTCAAAGCAGAGTACAATAGTTTTATATAAACCTGAGATTATTAATCCAGTAAGATATCTTTAATCATTTCTAAGATACAACAATTCAAATTTAATCTCACAATTGGAAAATTTCTCTGTAAGACGATTTGGACAATTTTGCTGTTACAGCCGGTATAAAACTTTTGTGTTAACTACTAAAATCAGTACACCGGCATGAAACAAAAACAACTGCGTACACATACACAAACAATTTCCTTAAAAACGTTTTTAGCCAAGAGAATAAACTAGATCCAATTTCAAAATTTAATTACGTAATCCCTATTCAGCATAAACAGTATTTGGAACTAATATAGGGTAGGTCCTTCATTTGCTAGTTTCAGTGCTTGTATTCGATTTTTCATGGATTTGATCCAAGTTATCAACAATCGTCTGATCCATATTTTGCCACTTCTTTAACAATGTTTCTCTAAGGGCTGCCACTAACGTGATTTTGGTTGCACTTTCTCGAAGTTTTCGGTCAAGGTGTTCCTAAACGTGCTCTACTGGGTTTGGGCTGCCCATGGCAGTGACTTGATTACATGGGATTCCTTCCAGGCCTTTGCTACTTTAGTCGCATGATATGGCGCTACATCTTCTTGAAAATGGTAGACATTTTTGTCAATCTGATTGGTTTCAAATAGTGGGAGTAGTCCTTTCTCTAATATTTGACAGTATTTTGGCCATTAAACCGCTCGTCAACATGAGTCAGCTCAGATTTTCCTCCAAAAGAAACAGCACCCCACACCATTACTTCAATCCCTCCATGTTTCACGGTTGCCTGCAGACAATCAGTGTTCCAAGTTTCATTCTGATTTCTCCAAGCATAAACCAAGCTCGAATTCGAATATTAGCAGAATTTACTTTCATCTAACCAAATTACAGACTGCCGAAATTCATAATCTTTGCTATCGAATTATCTCGCCTAATCCATATGCTTGATCCTGTTAAGCTGTGAAATCAAGGTCTTCTTTCTTGTAACACTTCTTTGATAGCTTAGCTCTTTCAGAGTCTTTCTCACCGCATATGGCGACATTTCCATGCTGTTGGCGACATTTTTGACGCTCTGACGATGATTTCGGATGACTTCCTCATTCAGTGCTTTTGTCGTTCGCTCAGAAACAATGCTTGGCCTTCCTTAACGTTGTTCCACACAACAATGGCCTTATTTCTTTAAATTTCTTGACAATGTTATTAACCGTTTGATGATTAACCTAGAAAAACCTAGCAATTTCTCTATTTTACTTGCCACACTGATGCCATCTTATTATTTGCCCTTGTTGAAATTCACTAATTTCCTTACTTCCACGAACTTTCATTGCAAAATATGTCAACTATTTTTCATAGATGAGAGTAGATTGATACTAACACGGTATTGTCTGAAAAAAAAAGAGACGTAATTAAACAAGCCAAAATTGCTATAATCAAGGTGGCTAAAAACTTATCATAGCTCACTGTATATTTTGCATTTGACTATGGCTAATCACTCCACACTGATTTTTCTTTGATAAAATCCAAATAAAATTCAGTGTGAAGGAAGTAGCCATAGTCAAGTGCAACATATATAACAGAAAGAGCATCGGGGCCGTATTTGACAGCAATATTCTAAGCATGGGCGAATGGTAAACTTATACATATGTAAGATAGACACTGGAATGAAAAACTCTCTGACAAGACACAGTGAACAAACCTTCCTTGCAGCAGATCTAGCAATAGATTCATTCGTTTTAAGACGAGATAACTCGACTTAGAATTGTCTTAAAATGGGGTAAGAAAGCTTAATATATTTAGTGCTGAGGTTTAAGGAAGGACTTAGTTGAACCTTGTGGTTCTTGGTTGTTGTCATGCATTACTACGCGGAGAAGGTTTATATTTTACACGGTAAGGAATGTGCCACCGTTTACAAACATGTTTATTGTCGCTTTTATTCAATTGAATTAAATCAATTCACTCTCAGTGTTGCAGATTCGAAGTTTTTCTCTTTACCGAATAATTATTCATGAAGGCAAGGGTTTGACGCAACGATTATCAACGCAGAAAGTTATGTAAAGTAGAATTGCTATGAATATTAACAATATAAGTTAACGTGCTTGGAATGACATGTGATGAAAAGATCGACGAATTAGTTGAAGCTTATGGACATGACCATTATAGTACCTAATGCTGCTTTTTCCACAGTGCACGCTACACATTTATATTACATCAGATGAACACTGGAATATTTTTTCCTTATTCCACAGATGGACCTTGAATAGTTTGACTCTCTGTTGCCCACAGGAAGAAATAAATGATATAACAAATGCATTGTTGCCCATGACAACAATTTTCTAAGCGTAATTTACATGTGGCACAAGACCGAAAGTGTGAAGCACCCAATAAGGATCGAACTCAGTACTCAGTCGTAATTGATCTCGCTAGTTAATCCTGTTAACCATTAAACCACGTTCGAGTGCTCCTGTTTAGATTTAAGGACAGTAAGAGAAAGAAAGAAAGAAAGAAAGAAAGAAAGAAAGAAAGAAAGAAAGAAATGGACTATAGAGAGGCGATAACACACTTATGCTATTGCCTTAGATAATCAATGGACCATTCCAGCTTGATTGCAGGGATAGACGGAAGAAAAGATATATCAAATGCACTGTTTGGTTTTAGGGGCAGGAAGGGAAAAATAAGAAAGAAAGAAAGAACGAAAGAACGAAAGAAAGAAAGAAAGAAAGAAGGATTGTACGGTCACTTCTCTGTGCTTTTTCTGAAGAATGCATCTCAATAGAATGAAATGTGTATAAAAAGCAAACAATCTGACCTGAGGAAACTATGGAAGACAAGTTATGATTTTGCTGGATCTAATTCCGACTGAATAAAGTGTTCGATCATTCACTGGGTTCTCCATACTTTCGGCCTTGTGCCACATCCATGTTACACTTAAAAATCATTATAGAGAAATTCTAGCACAACTGAGAAGTTAGTTCAATTCTCTGGGTCCTCCAAAATTATCGACCTTCTGTCATATCTAATCTACGCATAGAAATTTATTATCGGCACATAGACATTGTTTTCAAGGTTGTCTCGATAGGATATTCAGGACTGAATATGGACTTCGATCCTCATTGGGACTTCCCGTACTTTCGGCCTTACACAGAGAAAATCATTTCGGCCAGTCCGACATGGTGAGCAAGATGTACTAGCCAGATTATGACTAAATAGGGAGTTTGTTCCTCACTATGTGTGCCATACTTTCGGCTTATACCACATCAAAGCTATGCATAGAAAAAAAATTGACTACTTCGCCGTGGTTAATAAGCTGTTATTGCAAGATCAATAACGACTGAATAATGAGTTTGTTCCTCACCGTGCGCCATATACTTACGGCCCTGTACTACATTTAAGCTACTCATAGAAAATTTCGGCGACATCGACGAGGTGTGTAAACATTTCTTGTTAGGTCAGTTACTATTGAATAGTGAGTTTGTTCCTCACTGTGTGCTCCATACATTCGGCCTTGTACCCATCTAAGCTACCCATAGAAAACCATTCTGGATACTTCGACATAGTCACCAAGTTCTTGCAAGATCAGTTACGACTGAATAGTAAGTTCGAACTTCACTGGCTTCCCGAACATTCGGTTTTATGCCACATCTAAAATTTTGAAGAATTGGCTTTCATAGTTGATTCTTCAAAACCTCATCTCCATAGACTTTCTATGAAGTGTACAAGAACCAAAGAAGTTCTAGTTTTAATTTTAGGTTACAGAGACGAAATGGTATCAGATTAAACGAATACAAAAGCGTAAAGTCGTTATATAATTTTAAACATTCGGCTGTATGCCACATCTAAGATGCATTTAGAAACTCCCTATTATGGGACTACTTCTAAAAATTCGTTTCAGTAGACAGCAAATTCTATCTAATTTTGATTTTAGCTTTTAAAGGGAATATTTCGAGACAGAGAATCTAGGTAGAAAGTTTGAGAAGTGTACTTGCAGGAAGTAAGGTGTAGTTTGAAAATTTGGCTTTCATAGGTAACTCTTCAAAAACGCATCTCCATAGACTTTCTATGAAGTGTACAAGAACCAAGGAAGTTCTAGTTTTAATTTTAGGTTACAGAGACGAAAAGGTATCAGATCAAGCGAATACAAAAGCGTAATGTCGTTATATAAATGGTGAATAAGGTGTGGTCATAAATTGGTAAACTTGTTGAATTTCATCCATTAAGTCTAAGTAAGTCACATTTAATCAAACTTTGAGTCAGGATATAGAACAAGTTTTGAACTATCTACCACAAAAGAGCACTCCTTTTTAGAGAAGTCAAATTTTAGTTTAGAAAAAGAAACATAGAATTCACTTTAATGAATGCACTGGAATGAGGTGTGTGATTGTGCGTGCGAGCGCGGGCGCCCACGTATGTTTGAAAACAAAAAAAAAAGATTTGATACCTTTATGAAAAGTTTTGTAGAAAACCTCTTTCAAGTATGTTTTCTGAAAATAGGTTTTGTTACTGTAGTTCATTGATTTATTTGAAAAAAAAAAACTTCATTTAATAGTTTAGTCGAATTCAGGAGGTCATATATATATATATATATTTATTAAAGACATTTTTATTTTTATGTTTATGTTTAACGTTGTTATTTTATAGATACAAGTATTTAAGCAAATGCTCTGTTTATGATAAACATTATTAAATAACATTTACCGGCCTGAACGTCGATTTGTTTACAGAAAATATTCGTTCATTGACAGGATTCGAACCTGCATCCTATATGGAACCGTCATATTTATAAACGTGCCTTACCTCTGTCTACCATAATGAACCTTATGGTAGACCAGAGGTAAGAAACGTGTTTATAAACGGTTCCGTATAGGATGTCATTCATAACTGTCAATGAACGAATATTAAACAAATGAAATATGTTAAGAAATGGACAAGGTCCGACAATTTATTTATTAAAGACATTTTTATTTTTATGTTTAACATTTGTTAAATTTTATAGAAACTATTAACAAAATAAACATAAAAATAAACAGTATTAAATAAAATTTACCGGCCTGAATGTCGAGAAATTTTCTTTAAAATATATATATATATCGAATGCATCCTATACGGTAATATACCTGATTATTATACAAAACCTTATGGTAGACAAGGTCGAATTTTGTTTATAATATAAAATCTTAAAATGATACATTCATAAAAGAGCCATCGAATTAAACAAATGACTTTAATAAATAAATTGTGGATAAAACATTTGAAATCACAAATTTTGTTTATATGGATATATATATATATATATATATATATATATATATATATAGATATTTTATATATATAGTTATATATATATATATATATATATATATATATATATTAGTTTATATATACAGAATTAGAAATATTTGATATTTAAACACTTAAGACATCACCTAACGTTAAACATTAACTGTGAAATTAAAGAAAAATTTAAATAGATATAAATATGTTTAATTATTTAAATGCATGTGTAAGTATTCATATATGAATATGTATAGGTACCTGTGTATATCGATATATGTGTATGCGCCTATGTGTGTAATTGCACATGTAAATGAACGTATGCATGTGTAAAATTTACATAAGTGTATCTGTGGGATATATATAAGGAAAAAAATCTTTAATATTACCTTCAAATATTACTTCATCTTAATTTGAAATTTTAAGTAAGGAAGATTACCCATCTAAAAATAGTTCCAAATTACATTCATGAATTAGATTCAAACTGATAAAGATGTAACCTTAACAGTCATTTACAATATTAAAAGTTTACTATCAGTAAACTGTTATATTCTAAAAAAATTATTATGTCTTCTCTATGAATGTGTTAATAAATACAGGACTTATGTTAAATCCCTACAATATTTGTAAAAGAGTCAAAAATTTAAATTGCTCGCAGGCATCAAATTAATTTCTTCGTGTGCTTTTTTAACATTTAAATTACTATGAATCATTAAAATCTATTCTTTTATATAAATTGCTAAAAATATACCACCCCGTTTTTCCTACGTAAAACCTAATTACAGCTTCTTTCTCTTTACTTTCCCCTTCTTTCTTTTTTTCTTTTTCTCTCTTCTCCCCTCCCATTTCAATATATCACTTCTGTTAATTTCATTTTTTGGAAGTGTTATCTGATGTTCCAGAATCCCTTAAAATGGCTCTGGTGAAATAAATTGTTATAATGGAGCCTTAAAGTGGTCTGTTTTCTTTAAATTATTAGCTCTGAATTGACATTGAGCTCTCAGGATTTCATCCTCCTTGGGATTAACCATACAGATTACCTAGTTTTTCTTAACTTAATTATATATATATATATATATATATATATATATATATATATATATAGTAGTTTATATCTGCGATTTCTCAATCCGACCCGCTATCCATTACTCTACCGTGCCTCCTATAATTCGAATTCCAGAGTTCGAATTCCAGTCGAATCCATTGCATTCACTTACGTGCTAATACCCTTGGGAAAGGTGTGAATCCTCTTCTTCTCCCCTCCAGCTATGGGTAAAATAGCAGGACAGACTGGGTTCTATAGCCTTGGATGGCAACTAGTCTAGGAGAAGGACAACTCTTAATTCAAAACCTGCGGAGGGTCGTTTGGGGACCTTGTGGCACTTAGTGCACCAGGTCTCTGAATTCAGCCCTTCAAAAAGTGTGGATGGTCCTCACGAAACCTTCACCACTGTAATTAAATCTCCTGTGCAGTTACGATGTCGGTTTCCTGAGAACTGATCTGCTTGACCCTCATACGTTGAATTCGACAGAGAGTCGAATATAGTAGTTTATAGATATATATATATATATATATATATATATATATATATATATATATATATATATATATGGGTATGACCTGAAACTGCATCCGACAATGGAGTCTAGACTAGGGGATAGAATCAGGGTACCGCAAACCATTGTAATCCCTGGCTAAGATCTAGCACCTGTTTGACCCCTACCAGGGTTACGGTATTTATTTATGTGTGTGTGTGTGTGTGTGTGTGTGTGCGTGTGTGTGTGTTTGGCGGCATTGATATGCGTGTGTCTGTATGTAACTCATCTAGGTGAAGGGTCGCCAGATGATTAACATGAATGAAAATGGGGATAAGTGTAAGGAAAATGTGATGTTTGAGTGCGTTTCTCTGTGTGGTTATATGTTTTGGGTGGGGATGAACACTGCACTTACCACTTCAAACCAAGCATGCTGCCATATTGCTGATCAGAATAGAAATTGTGGCTGAGTTTCCTTCCTTTGTTTATGGAAGAGCGCACATTGCTGGTGAACCGGAAGTTATCCAAGATTGGACAATAAATTGCGAAGAAGAGTCACATGGTGTGTACTTTGGAAGACAGAAAAAGTTGTAGCTGACGGAAAGTACACAAGTCGACACCCGATCAGTATCGGCAGGGTCAACGTGAAGAGGGTGGGATATGATGTTGAAAACCCCGAAACCCGAAATGAACCTCGGGTAGAAACATCAAAAATGACGTTTACCAAAGTATCC